TTATGAAAGAGTTGAAGAAAGAGAAGAAAGTGATGAATTGAAAGGAAAACGGAAAAGTTAAAGTTTGTTGACAGATGCAAACAAAAAACAAATCTCATGTATATAATGAGTGAAATTTTCAATGAAAAGGATCGTTCATGCGAAATCAAAAAGTTTGCCAATTTTAAAATTGCTAAAAAGCAGTTGAAATCAACTAACAACAAAAATGCATGTAAATATGTGTCTATGCATATTAGATATTTCCCGTTATAGGCTTTTTGCTTTGAGAAATATTTGAAAAGTTGATTCCCATGAGATGTGAATAACATTGCTTTTGCCTCTTGCTATTGCTGTTGCTGTTGCTGCCACTGCTACGAAATGTTACCGAGAAAGAAATAACTAGAGTGAAATCTTTTTGATGGACTAGAAAACATCCTAATAGTTGGCCCAATTTTTAATTTCATACTTTCAGTTTTGTTCCCTCGGGCCAAATGTATTTCTATATTCATGAGATTTTTGAAATTTCAAATTAACATACCATATGTGTATACACACACACACACACACACACACACACACATACATATGCACTCATACAAACATTTATATATAATACATACGACATACATATGCATACAACACATACACACACATACACAGACATACATATGAATTTGAGAGATATGAATATATTCATGAGTGTTTACGGCAAACAAGTTTCTTATCATTTTTCTTGGCGTTGTTTAGTAAAAAAAAAAGGAAAATACTGCTAATGGATTTTAGTGTACGATAATGATAATTGGTGATAATAGTGATAATGGTAATGATTTGTGGTAGTGATTATGATGATAGTAGTGATGATAGTAATCATCGTGGTGATGGGTATAATAGTGGTGATGGTGATAGTGATGATGGTGAGAGTGGTAGTGATTATGGTGATGATGGTAGTGATAATGATGATTATGATGATGATAGTAATAGAGGTAGTAGGATTGTAGTGATAATGGCGATTATGATTGTGATAGATGGGGGAATAAAAGAATATTAAGCATAATAAAGAGAGTTCACAATTTAAACATATTTTATACTTGAAAAATTCAAAAATCATATGATCTAAAGTGGAATATTTTCATATATATATATTGATAAGTGAAAAAGCACAGATGTTCCTGCCGTATTACCACAGAAATTTAACCGTTACTTCTCAGATATACTTAAACTGATGACAAATATTCATCATTTTCATGAAAATCACTCATCAACCTAATTCAATGATAATTCAACCTAATTCAATGATAATTTAACATATCGAAATTGCATAAATTTCCTCGCAGAAATACATTGCATAAAAACTTCTTCATTCATGAATTTTCTTTGAATTTTCTTATCAAATTTGAATTCTGAGTTTTCTTATCGTAAAATAAGCAAAAAATTGGGCAAGCTGATAATAATGATAATTCAACCTAATTCAATGATAATTCAACCAAATTCAACGATAATTCAACCTAATTGAAATAATTCTATTTTTAATATTTCAACTTTCTGATTAGTAATTTGCAGTAAAACAGCGACACGCAGCTGCTGGTCAAGTCATTAAAAAAAGAAGAGAAGCAAAGTTATTTTTATTTGAAATGATCACTTTAAATGATACTAAACAGCTGGGTCAAAAAAAGTTATCTTTGTGTGAAGCGATATTTAATCCGAATGTCCATTTGTTGTGGTCATCAAATTATATCTTGTCCCATTTTTAGTAGCAAATTACAACTTACACAATAATCTTAGTAATCGTTATAATTTATTCTCATTCAATCTATCATTGAAAGAACATATTTCAATTTTTCTTAATCATATTTTGATGTTTGAATTCAAATCCGAAAATTGAAATAATATTTCCAATCGAAAAATTTCTAACCTCTCTTTTTCTTTTGTCAAACTCTATTTGGTAACTACAATGTTTAGTTTTAGGACTGACTAGAAAATAAATCAATCAGCTTACTTTTCATATCTCCAATAAAACCAAAGCGTCTGCAATAGCTTTATAATGAGAGTGCACAATGATACAAACGAGAATGGCTAATCGACCACAATTTTGAACTGCTAAATTAGATAATAACTTCTGATCGATATGATAGTTGTTTAACAATTAAATTGAATCGGATCAAAATGATAGATGTGTGTGCGAAAGGATGTTTAAATAGATGGCGCAAACTGCTGATGATCGCTTGATTGATTTGTTTGTTTTTCAGTAGATAAAAGTAATAATGATAACATGAAAGATCGTAAGTGAAGTATAACTGTTAAAAGCGCTTGAAAGTTAAACAAAAATGTGCGGTGATATTATGAATGAAATAAAGAGGAGCTCTTAATATTATTATTTTTCTAGAATGGATCGAAATTGGTAGAATAATAGATTAATGAAAAAAGAGTGAAAATTAAAAGATAGCAAGGAAATGTAATTAGTATGGATAGCTTTCCTTTCCTTATTCCTCTAGAATGTTTGAACATTAAATTGATCCGATAAGTAATGAAATTTAAATTAGGTAATGCAAAATGAAAATGTAATATTGTAGCATAGTAACAGCCTGAAGTTATGAAAGCCTTTATATACTACAAAAGAAAATAATCCATTCTTTGAGATAACTAAAGAATCATATTTGTAAATAAAAAGCTAATTTTTGACTTCACATCATTAAGCTTTTGCTTGCGCAGAAAAGATGTCGTTTTCTTAAACCAATTTCAATTTTCGATTTCAATAAATATCGAAATACGCTACACTCAAACATTCGTTAGTTGGCTAAAACACAATTTCAAATAACATATGAAGAGAAGCTAACAATGATTAATCAATCAATGGGAATGAAAAAGCAACGGATAGGATGGAAGAGAAGTTTAGAGAGAAATTTATTTAATTTGATGGGAAAAAAAAGAGTGTGAGAAAGATATGATTAACTATTGCAGAAGATTAAATTGATCAGTTCTTCATTTTTGATAGAATGAAATTAAATTAAAAGCTGAAAATAGTACAAAACTTAAAGGGTACATATATATATATATCAAAAAAAAGAAAAAGCGATATATTACTGACAGCTTAATTCTTATTTTTGGGTTTCCCATTTTCTTTCTTACATTTAAAATATAAATGAAAATATTTTAGAGGTGTAATTTCCCCCTATTTAATTTGAAAGAAAAAGTGTTTCAAAATATTTTTCAAAAATGGAAGTGCTAAAAATAAATTTGAAATTTAAATAGACCAATTCAAAATATTTCTAGAAGGTAATAAAAATGAAATCGATCAAAAATAATATTTTAAATATTCATTTATACTTCTTCTTACTAGCTAACATTAATAAGGCGAAATTTAATGAGCTTGTTCTATCGAATACTATTCCATTCGATAAAAAAATGATAAGTGTGAAATGGATAAAGCAATAAATTTTGCAATTGATAACTAACGAACCGATAAAAGAAACTGGTAATAAAAGAAAAGAAATAAATACAAACCGATAACTTTTCCTTCAATAAGATCGCTTGGAAATTGTACATCTCCCATGCATGATTCTAAATCCGATTGCATACTTGCAACTGAGGAATTGGATCGAGCCGATTGTGATGTATGAGATTGTGGTACCTGTAGATAATTGTGCAAAAATGACGGTGATTGATTTTCCGGTGATGAAGTACCTGAAAAATTTGAATAATAATGATAAAGATAATTTATTTGTGGAATACATTAATATTTGCTTACTAACTTACCTAGGACAACTATATTTTCTGTCACCTGTATATTATATTTTCTAATTACAATGGAGAAATTTGCTATAAATGAAATTTATTATTAAATGAGACAAGTTTAATAGATTTACATAGGGAAAGTAAGAAAATCAAAAAATAAATTAAAACATAAATCTTAATTTTAATTATTACACTGAAGATCCGGAATTTCATATTTCATTTCTGCAATCGATTTCTGCTTGTTAATTTTGCCAAATTATATTTCTCATACTGTTAAGATTTATCTAAGAATGAAAAATAAAATATTCCAGAAGATACTTTCGAAATTTTAATTATCCAATATATGAATTCTTGAAATGGACAACTACTGAGAAAATATTATCCAAAAAAATATTATCCCTTAAAAAAGAACAATATTATTGAGAAAAGATCAATTATTTCTTTTTTAGGATGAAATTAAATATTTTATTTTCGAAAGAAAATACAAATAATATTATAATAGAAACAAAATGATTGTTTCTAAAACAAATTAGAAAAGACAGAGAAATGATAAGAGAAAAGAAGGGTACGATAATTTTCGATAAAGAAGCAATAATTGCTAAACAGAACAAAACGATGAAAATCATACGATGAAAAGTAATATGAAAATTACCTATCACTTATCACTAATCACGGAATATGTGATATAGTAGGCATAGAAAAGTGGCAAGAGGTGGTATCGGTAGTTGAATACACAGAGGCAATAATTGCTAAATAGGAAAAAAACGATGAAAATGATACGTTGAAAGATAATATAAAAATTACCTATCACTTATCACTTATCACGGAATACGTGATATAATAGGTATAGAGAAGTGGCAAGAAGTGGTATCAGTAGTCATATAAGAAAATAAAGAGGCAATAATTGCTAAATAGGAAAAAAACGATGAAAATGATACGTTGAAAGATAATATAAAAATTACCTATCACTTATCACTTATCACGGAATACGTGATATAATAGGTATAGAGAAGTGGCAAGAAGTGGTATCAGTAGTCATATAAGAAAATAAAGAGGCAATAATTGCTAAATAGGAAAAAAACGATGAAAATGATACGTTGAAAGATAATATAAAAATTACCTATCACTTATCACTTATCACGGAATACGTGATATAGTAGATATAGAGAAGTGGCAAGAAGTGGATATAAGTAGTCGAATTCATTGAATGTAAAAATTTTCCGAAATTTTCTCAACGCTAAAATTTGGGGCGTCATTTTCTTCAAAAAAAAATCATAAATTATATTCTTGGGATGTCGTTTTTTTTTTCCTGTAAGAAAACTATTGACAAATTAAACTATGTTATTGATAATTGTTGTAAATATGAGACAGATCGATCGATCGATCGATCTTTTCATTGAAGTTTAATTTGATTTATTTTGAAAAAGCTGTAACAAAACATTCATTCATTTAATCAATCTTTTTACATCAATTGTTAACATTATTTTATTTCAGTCTTTTCAATCGATTATTATTCTTTTCTTTCTTTCTTTAATAAAAACAAAAAATTGCAATTAACAATTTTTGTTAATTAACTATACGAGAAAAATTAAAATAAAAGAAGAAAAGAAAAATTAGAAATGTAAATTGCATTTCTTAAAAAAAAGTTTTCATATATGTCATATTTCAACATAACATATTTAAATGACAAATGTAATATATTTTCATAACTGCCCTACAATTTTTTAATTTAGGAATATTCAGAAAATTTAATTACAACGATTTCGTGTTTGCATGTATTATTAAGCCTAGTCTTGGCTCGTTTTTTTTTTCTTTTTTTCTTTTTCCCTTTGCTCAATAAAGAATGTCAGTTTAATATTATTTATCATCAAAGTAACATTCATATTCATTTGCTATGTGAAAGAAAACTTCAATCGTATTTGAAATATTTTCAAAATGACAAATTTATTGAAATCCTAAAAATAAAAAAGCCATTCCAAATTTTTTTCCTTTACTAATATTTTTTTGCGTCAATAAAACAAATATAATTGTTTTTGCTATTAATTTATTTGTTTTTAGTAAAAATTTTCAGCAAAAATATACACATCTTTTTGGGATAGATAGATAGATTAGATAGATAGATCGATCGATCGATAGATAGGTTAGATAGATAGATATAGATAGATAGATCGATCGATCGATAGATAGGTTAGATAGATAGATCGATCGATCGATAGATAGGTTGGATAGATAGATAGATAGATCGATAGATAGATTGATCGATAGATAGATAGATGGATAGATAGATAGATAGATAGATAGATAGATGGATAGATAGATGGATAGATAGATTAGATTAGATTAGATAGATTGATCGATAGATAGATAGATAGATTAGATAGATAGATGGATAGATCGATAGATTTTTTCGTTCATATTTTTTTATATTTTATTTAAATTATATGAAAGAATATTTTGTGATTCTGAAATTTGCATGAAATTTAGCTTTCATTTGAATATTTTCTTGATTGTATTTAAAATTCAATATTTATTTGCATTAATTTACTTCATTTGATTTCATATGAAAATCTTTGTAGCAATTTTAAAAATTTTTCAAAGTTAAAAAAGTAAAAAATTTTTTGTTGCTAAAATAATTAATAAAATTCAAAAAGACAAAAGAGCAAATTATTTAATTCCACAATTTACGTTTGCATCAATTCTGAACAAATTAATAAAACTGATTAAATTAAATGAAACACAATGAAATATCGAATTTGCATGAAACATTGACAGTATTGTTTGATCAATAAGGAGTGTAATAACTAAACATACCAACCGATTAATAATATTAGAATGTTTTCATAAACTTAAATTTTCACATCATTAGTGCAAAACATGATATCATAATTAAGGTATTATAGAAATAAAATGAAAACAATGCCAATTAACTAAAAACTTAAAAACAACAATTACTAGTCGGAAACTATAAAAAGAAAAATATTAACCTTTTGATAAGTTTGGTAGTGTACCATTACGTTTGATATTTCGTGTATGCATTTCACTATCATCAATAACACTCATGCTTCGATTATTACCACATCGAAAATCATTATCAGGTGATAGATGAATTCCATTGTCTGATGATAATAGCAAAGTACCCTTATCGGTTAATTCTGTCGAATGACTTTGATTCTGTTCTGAAAATTCATTTTATAAACGATATGTATGACATCATATATGGCAATGTTACTGAAATTAATAAATTAACAATTGAAACTTCGTGCAATATTAATAATATTTCTTGTTAAGAAATAAAATTTAAACCATTCAGCAATATTTCGTGAAACACAACATTGAATGAATAATTGTAATTTTTATAAATTGAAAGAAAAAATATTATGAACTGAAATTACAAATGAATTAAGTGCATAATTTTGAACTTTGGCACACAACAAAATTTTAGAATTAGAACTATTTTAAGTTTGTAAATTCTATGATGAATGCATGCAGTAGAGTCTAGATTTATTCACATATTAAAATTTCATTTTAAAAAGAACAACTGAAGTTCATGAACTATAAATGATAACCATAACGCGATATAAATGATGACCATTTGATGATTGACCTTAGTACGATATATATCGTACTTTATTTATCTCATCATACCGCTATTACAGAATAAATCTGCAGCTCAAATTTTTTTCCCAGAAATTTCCGGGGGTGAAATGTGAATTAATGAAGGGAATTTTTCCTTCCTCTTCGATTATTTATTTAGAGAAAAAAATTAAAATATAAACATACAGTTGAAATAAGTAGGAGAATAGAAGAAGACACATAGCTGTCAATATTCGGATATTAGCGTTAAAAAAAGATTGCAACGAAAAATAAGTATAATTGATTTCTTATTATTATTTCTGTGATGAAGTCAAAGAAGAAATATTTCTCACAGCGAAAAAATGTATATAAAATAACTATAAAAGTTTCGAATTATCATTAATGATTTTATCGTAATCGTTACTTTAAATGAACTGATAATATTATCACTAATGAATTTTGAATGGAAACAAAAATATTTTAGGAAAGATTTAATTCGATTTTATCTTTAGCTCAAAAAATATTAGTTTAATTATTAAAGGTTAAAACTGTACTTTTATTTTGGATACTAAAGAGAGAAATAGAAGAAAATCTTTCAATACATCTAAAGAGAAGCGGAAAAAGATTTATTAGTATAATTAAATATTCATTGATTACCTTTGTTTCGTTCATTGCAAAAATGAATAACATAATTAAAAAAGATTAGGTATGGAACATTTTAGCTTTTATTGTGCCATTATATGCCTGATAAAATGACGTAAATTTATTCCCGATATTGAAAAGTTGTAAACAAAAACAACAATACATTATTGTTTGCTATAATGGAAAGCAAAGATATATGCCATTTAAAGTAATGTCTAATCTTTTATTAGGAATTTTTTTAGTATTGTTGAATTTAATGTATTTGTAATTTGACGGTAATTTTTTTTATAATTTTATAAATGATAAGTGATAAATGATAAATGATAAGTTTGATGAGAATTTTTAAGAATTATAGTAAAGAGAGAAGGGCATAGGCTAAAAGATACATATAAAGAGAGATAAAACTGAATTAAAAGCTATACTGAATATAAAATTTCAATGTATAAAGCGTTTTAAAATATTTGATACAATTTTAAGTAAAAATTTGCTAATCGTCTATTTCGAATAGTTTCTCGGAAAAAATGTGAACTTCATTAGAATGATCAAAATGATGAATATTATCAATGATAATATGAATTAATTGTGGTATGGTTAAAAGGCAAAAAGTTCTGCCAACTAACATATACATAAATATTTATTACAATTACCTTTAACAACTGATTGGATAAAATTATAATAATTATTGCAAGTCCGCTTATTTTTTACTTCATACCGTAACTTTTCCTATATTTGAAATTGTTCAAAAATAAATAAATTTTCATTTACAATAGGCCTTAGCATAAAATTATGCAAATTTCAATAATTGATTTGTTGCAAAAAAAAAAGAGAAATAAACAGGTAAGACATAACAATTTCACCAAATTCTTCTAATTAGTTTAGCTTCCAAAAGAAAGACAAGGCTAAAAATAAGTTGTATTTGGCCATTCTACTTCGTGGAAAAATTTTTCACTTTTTTACTGAATGTGTAAACAATTGTCCAGCCTTAAAAGAACTTGATCCTTAGGA